CATGCTAGGGACCAGTTTTCCCTGGTCCACTCCTGGTCTCATTTTCAGCTGTGCACAGGGGGTGGAGCTATCTCCATCCTCCCTCCCCCTCTATATGGGCCCAGCCACCAACCTGCATGCCACAGCTGAGTCCCTAGGTGTGGTTCTGACACAGCTGGGCTCCTCGAGAGCCCTGCCCAGCTCCTGGGGGAAGAGGCAGCTCCCTCCGTTGGGTCATTGCTCCATGCGATAACCCTCTTGTGCACCTGCAGAACCCTCCCCAGAGAAGCCGGGAGAGGGGCTCTGGGAGAGGAAGCTGCAGTGAGGCTGTTTAATGCCTCTCTTCAGTGGGGGTATCAAATGGGGTAGAACGACCCTCCCAGCACGCTGGAACTGAGCAGAGACCTGTGCTGCCCCCACAGCCTTCCCCTTGCCCAGCTCTTGGGCTGCATCGATACAACGGCCCTGAGGCTGCGATCAGAGCTGTGCTGCTCTGGTCCGTTTTCCTCCTTGCTCTGATACCCAGGCCCCCCACAAATGGGGCCCGCAGGAGGAGGGAGCCTGGGGCTGCTGGGTTTAGGGTTATTATTGCAGGGGGTGGCAGGGAGTCACCCTTTTCCCACGTTGGTAGGGCAGGGGGTTCTCAACTTTTTTCTTTCCGAACCCCTCCCCCACCATGCCCTAAAGCTCTCTGGCCCACCTGAGCCACAACAGGGGTTTTTCTGCATAAAGCAGCCAGGGCCAGGGATGTGAGTAGCAAGCTGGGCAATTGTCCGGGGCACTGCAAAGCTAAGCTGCTCGGGCTTCAGCTTCAGCCCCAGGTGGTGGGGCCACGGGCTTCAGCCCCGCACGGCAGGGCTTCGGCTTTCTGCCCTGGAGCCCCAGCGAGTCAAACGCTGGCCCTGTGTGACTCTGAAACCTGCTCATGGCCCCCCAGGGTTGAGAACTGCTGTGGTAGAGAACTTCCAGCCTCCTTAAGCCACCAGTCACCTCCCAGCTCCAGCAAAGAGCACCAGCCAGGCCTCCCGCTGGGGTGTGGTGAGGAGTTCTGCCCCAGCCAGCTGGCTGCACAGGCGTCGTGGGATGGTACCCTGCCAGATGTTACATGCTGGGTGGGGGCAGCAAAGGGACTCAGCTCCCACGCTGAAGGGTGACCTGATAGGAAAGGGTCTTGGGCTGTGAAGGAAGCCACCTCTGGCCTGCCTCAGTTGAGAGAGGTTCACCTCCACGCGGGGGCAATGGAGCAGCCCCAGGACATCTTTCCTCCTGCCCTGAACACACCTTTTAGGTGAAATTTCCAGTCTGAGCTTTGTTTTTATACCTGCAATTTTGCAGGTGCAAATAATCTCAAGGCCAAAAATTGCAACCAGCCATGCAGAAGCTGCTGAGCTTGTGAGAACAATGAAGTCCTGATGTGTGGGCACAACCAGGTACCCAGGGGCCCAGCCCATGTGACACTTGGGCACCTGCAAATAATTGCAAGGGGAAAATGGAGGCCAACGTTGGACCAGTTGGCCCTTAAAAGCTACAGAAATCATAGAATATCAGGGTTGGAAGGGACCTCAGGAGGTCATCCAGTCTAACCCCCTGCTCAAAGCAGGACCAATCCCCAATTTTTGCCCCAGATCCCTAGATGGCCCCCTCAAGGATTGAGCTCACAACTCTGGGTTTAGCAGGCCAATGCTCAAACCACTGAGCTATCCCTCCCCCCAATTGTCCTCCCTGCTGTGTGCTGCTCAGACGGGATCTCCCAGAGAGCCAGTCACAGAATGGCAGCCTGTTGTGAATGAGAGACCCACTGCAGTGAAGTCCCCCAACGCCTGGACACATGATCCTGGTGCACGGCCTGTGCCTCCCTGGAAATGATCCTCTGCCTTTGATTCTTGCTTTCCTTTGCTGCAGCAGGGAAAGCTGTTTCAGCCCTCTCAGCTCCCGCTGTTTAGCTAGGAACAGACTTTCAGGGGGACTCCGAACACCCTTGACTGTTAGATGTTAAGGCCAGAAGGGACCGTACTGGTCACTTCAGCTGCCCTCCTGACAGCACAAGCCAGAGCATGTGCTGCTCGGAGCCCAGGGCTGCTGGCTGAGCTAGAACAGAACTAAGACTCCCCTTCTTGATGTAAAGCCTCTCATAGCAGCGAATCAATCACAACCCTCAGTGAGCTGTTCCAAAGGGTGGTTCTCCTCACCGTTAAAAATTGGCACCTCCGCTCCAGGCTGATGTCACCCAGTGTCAATTTCCAGCCTGGGGATGTTCTTTTGCCTTTGCTAGTTTACGGAGCCCTCTGCAATCAGAAATCTCCACCATGGGGAGGTACCTGTATATTCTTTTTATACTACAGGCCCCAGAACTGGTACTCTTCCTGTTTTCCTTCTTCAGGGCAAATGTTTGGGGTTATTGTCCCCAGGCTGCAATCAGAGCTGTGTAGGCAGTTGCGTGTGTTCGACTCCACTGGGACTCCGTGTGGGGGTGAGGGTAGTCTGCCCATGGAGAGCCAATGGCAGGACCATTGTTTGAATTAATGCAGCCCATAAACTAAGCAGGCCCTGCAAGAAGCTGAGTAAATGCTGTGGGAGGAACCTCACCCCTTGGCCTGCCCTGTGAGTGCTGCAGTGCGGTCAACCCCAAGCAGGCCAAAATCACGAGATTAGCTTCAGAATCACGCGATTTAAAACAGGTACATGTCGGGCTCCATTTATTTGCCTTCTGCTTTTGTCTGTAACTAGAGGGCTAGAAACATAGACCATGGGAGGGCTGATGAGCGGGGGTGGGGGTGGTCATTTTCTCAGGCCCCTCCCCCGAAACATCTGTTACTGGGGTGAAATGCGGGGGGGAGTGAACGTGATGTTGTATGGCCCCGAATTTCTCTTGATGAGCTGTCTGTGCAAGAAAGTTGTGCCAGTTTACCTTAAATGAGCTTTTAAATGGGTTTGGTGAAACTGGTGCAACCCCCTATGTAGATGCAGTTTGAGTGGCATATTGTGGTTTAGCTTAAATCTGGTTTGAACTGATTTAAGCTAAACTGAAAGGAGCGCATTTACATGGGGCTGTAGGAGTCTCACTAATGCAGTTTAAAATCTCACTTTTAGTTACGTCAGTGCAGCTTTCCCGTGTAGCCAAAGCCTTATAGACATTTTTAAAATTGCTAACTGTGTCATAATCCCATGACTCTGGGAGCTGGGGCTTGAAGAAAAACACCAAAGGTCCCATGACTCTCTATACCATGCTGAGCTCTGGAGATGGTAAGATTTCACTGGGGTATGGGGTGTGCATTAAGCTAGGGCAGTGGTTCTCAATCTGCGGCCCGTGGGCCACTTGCAGCCCACTTGGGCCACTTGCAGCCCAATCAGCGCAGAGCTGAGCCCGTGTGAAATTCTCAGGGCCATACTGAGCTAAGGGCACTGGCTGTTGCTGGGTCCTAAATGAGGCAGAGTGGGGAGGGGAGGATAAGAAATGAGGGAATTATGGATTTTCCAGTTCGTTGGTTGTTTAAAAAAGCAAAATGTTTGGGTTGGAGTGAAAGTGAAAATTCCCAAGGTTTTGGGCAAATCAACAAGTTGGAAAGTGATTGTGCTGGGTGAGATGAAAGGCCTTTATGTGTGTGTTACAAAAATCAAAACGTTTGTTTCACATGAGATAATTTTTGGGTTTAAAAACAATATAAAATTCAAGGCCGAAGTGAAGCAAAGAGTCATTTCACACCCAACCAGCCCAATGTTTGGCTTAGAAAATATCAGAGTGAAATGTTTGGAGTTTAACGTTCTTCCCCCCTTGAATGAACAAGTCCACACACTCGCGCGGCGGAACCAGGGGGGCAATCATGACATGGAAGGGGGGGTCACAACAGGGAATCGGGGGGAGGGGAGCAAGACAGAGAATGGGGGGGTCACGGCATGGAATCCAGTGGGAGCAAGACAGAGAATGGGGGGGTCACGGCATGGAATCCAGTGGGAGCGACACAGAGGAGGGGGGGTCACACACGGAATTGGGGGCGGGGGGGGGGTTAAGGCGAATCACGACACGGCCCCTGTCGCCAAATCAGGCCCCTCCGGCCACCGCTCCACCTGCAGGGCTGCGGCGTCAGTCACCTGGGCTGAGCCCGGCAGGGGGCGCTGCTGGACCGGCCGGGCAGCGAACTACAGCTCCCAGCAGCCCCCGCGGCGGCCGGAAGCGGCGGCGGCGACGTTGTTGCCTGGAGAAGCGGGGGGGGGCGTGTAACCGCCTGAGAGCGCGAGCCGGTCAGTGCCGGGCACGGGGGGCCTGCGGGGGGGGACGCCGCGCCGTGGGGGTCGGGGCCGGGCCCCCCCCCGGCGATGTGGGGGAATGAGGGGGGGCACCTCTGCGTTATGGGGAGCTCGGGGCAGGGCGCCCCCCTATGCTGTGGGGTGGGGGTCAGGTCGGGGCACCCCCCGTGCTGTGGGGGGTCGGGGGTATGGGGGGGTCAGGTCGGGGCACCCCCCTGTGCTATGGGGGGTCGGGGGTATGGGTGGGGGCACCTCACACTATGGGGGGTCAGGTCGGGGCACCCCCCCGTGCTGTGGGGGGTCGGGGGTATGGGTGGGGGCACCTCACACTATGGGGGGTCAGGTCGGGGCACCCCCCCGTGCTGTGGGGGGTCGGGGGTATGGGGGGTCAGGTCGGGGCACCCCCCGTGCTGTGGGGGGTCGGGGGTATGGGGGGGTCAGGTCGGGGCACCCCCCTGTGCTATGGGGGGTCGGGGGTATGGGTGGGGGCACCTCACACTATGGGGGGGTCAGGTCGGGGCACCCCCTGTGCTGTGGGGGGTCGGGGGTATGCGTGGGGGCACCTCACACTATGGGGGGGTCAGGGCGGGGCACCCCCTACGCTGTGGGGGCATCTGGTCTGTGATGCCGGCAGGTTGGCACAGACTCCCTGTTGCAGGCTCTGCCTCGGAGCAGGGGCCCCATACTGCTGGGGGACCCCACAGTGTCCAGGGGCCCCAAGCCTGCTCAGCCCCTGACCCCCCTCCTTCCCTGGGTAGGGACCCTCCTCCCTGAGGAGCCAGGTGGAGCCAGGAGTGTCCCGCTTGGACCCCAGCATGCCCAGGCCGCCCGGGACGCTGCAGGGGCTGGCTCCCTTTGGCCCCGCGCCTAGCCCATGCTCCAGCACAGAGCTCTGCTGCGGGGGGCCAGCACCCTGGGGGCTCTGCCACATTCACCAGGCACACCGAAAGACGGGTACTAATCCCTGCTCACCCCTCCTCCCCCAGGGCTCCTGACCCCACCAGTAACCGGCTCCCCTGGCTTTTTGCCCGTTGATTGGGGGTGCTTTGTTTGCATTCTGCCTGGAAGCGGTTTGCCCTCCAAGCCAGCAAAATAAATAAAGCACAAATGCCAAGGCTGGTACATGGCCAAGAGCACAGTGCCATTGCTGTTGCACGGACGCCTGGCCAGATGCTGCTTGGCCGGCTGGTGGGAATCAGGTGGCTGGAGCTTGTTTGTTCATAATTCCAGTGGGAAGGGTGTGGGGTCTAGTGGTTGGAGAAGGAGACTGGGAACTCCAGGACTCCTGGGTTCTATTTCTGGCTTGGCCAGTGGCAGCGGCAAAATCTCTTTTCTTGGGCCTTCAGTTGCCCTGTGTGGAAAGGAGGAGCCATGCCAATGTACCCCACTAGGGAGCTGTGCAGGTTGGTTGATAGTTCTAACGTGCGCTGGGAGCACCAAGTGGGAGATACGAGAGGAGGTTACAGCGCTAGCAATAAAGGACGCAGATAAAGGGGCTCCCCCTACTTGGTCATACCAGTAACCTGTCCCCAGCGGGACTTTGAACACCTGGTTCTATTCCGACTACTGAGCTTTGAGCAGCATGTGTGGTGTGTGTTCATAGCAAGGGTATTTCCAGGGCTTGGTGTGTAGTGGGGCAGTGTGAAAGGGGGGCAGGATTAAATAACTCCAGAGGCTCTAGTGCTGGGCAGCTGTAAATTGAAAAGTGGTTGGAAGGCAGCAATCATTGGCCAGTGGAGGAGATTACAGTGGAAAGAGATAATCTGGGGAACAGGTCATAGTGGTCAGGGAGGGTCTCTCTCACTCACCTTTGCTTCAGCCCTTGTCAGCAACTGTCCAGGTCATGTCAGTTACAGTTTTTTGTGGCCATGGTAGTATACAGTAGCGATAGACTGGAGATCCTCCAGGGAGAGGGGCTGTATAAAAATATGAAAGAGAGAGAATGGCATCCATTTCTGTAGCACCTTTCGTCTCCGGGAACCCCAAAGCACTATACACGCTGTAGCTGGGGAACACTCCTCTCCTACCGAAATACAGCCACTTCTGGAGTGGAATGTGACAGCTGTTGAACAGCACGCAGTAACACCCTGCAGCAGTTAAGGACAAGAAGTGGTCCCTCATTCTTGGATGTCTCTGAAGGGCTGTGTGTATGCGGTAGAATACTATGGACTTTGGCCAATCAATCAAAATGCTTTCCCAGTGAGCCTTCCCTTAGAGGTCTCCAGGCAATGGGCTTAGGGCAGTGCCCCGCCTTACCCATTATGTGAGCTGTCCATGCCACCTTGGGAGCTGCAGGCAGGGGCCAAGGTTGAGCCCAGAGCCATGCAGGGAGCAGGGCCAGGGCCTGGGGCCAGAGCTGCAGCTGGGGCCTGGGGCTGAGGCCGGGGCCGCGGCGGGGAGCAGAGCCAGGACTGAGGCCGGGGCCGTGGCTGGGGTGGGTCTGGGCCCAAGGCCAGGGCCACAGCTGGGGAGTGGAGCTGGGGGTAAAGCAGGGCTGGGTGGTGATTTCCTCCCACCCTGTGGGGGCTGGCCTGGGCCTGCTGTGCCCTCCCACTGTTCCTCCCTCTCGGGGGCTCACCCCACAGTTTGGGGACCATTGCTTAGGATATGCCTGCCCTGGAGCTGGAAGATGTACACTCCAGCTCGGGGAGACACGCCGAGGCTAGTGGGCCTAACAGAGCAGTGTAGCGGCAGTGGTGCTAGTGGCGGGAGGGGCAAGTCACCTCAGGTGCCATCCTGTCAGAGACCCTCGGTATGGAAATAAGAACTTCCAGCTCCAGTGCTCCTTTGTGCCCAGCTCCTTTGTGCCCAGTGCTCAGAGAGGGTGATATTGTAACCTCAGCTGAAATCTCATTTGAAAATTTTCAGCTTGGTTCCCATTGGTTCTGGTTGGCCATCTAGGGGACCAAAGCTATGTAGTGCTCTAGGAGAAACCACCAGAAGCTAGCTGAGATCAGCTGAATTATTTTAATGGAGGCTGCTGGAATTTCCTTTAGGATAGGCCAGGGTTAAACCCAAGCCTCCTACTCCACCTGGGAAATTGGGGGCAGGGGAGGCCGCTAGTTTCTCCCCCTCTCCCCCAAAGGTGGGGACTACAAATGAGAGCTAATTCCAATCCAACTATATTTAACTAGAGGTCTTCTTTTGTATGGCTGAAAGCCATCAACATTGGGTGTTCAGTGAGATGTAGGGCAGCTGGCTGACCTCTCCAGTAGCAGGATCTTGGGCTTTTCAGGGCTTCAGTGGCTCACACCGTGAATCGGTGGAATGAGGATAATTGCATCTACCTTTGCAAAGTGCTGTGTGATCGCTGGCTGGTCCGAGCTGCTGCGTACAAGTGATTTTCGTTGCATCGTTTCCAGGTGGATGGTCTGTGGGAACCATTGGCTGATACACACAGCGAGTCCTCTGGCTGCTTCCTGACATCTCTCTCCTCCTGTCACCTGTGAAGTAAAAGGTAAAGAAACCTGATCTCTGGGACACCAGAACATTGCCCAGTGGAGATCTGCATCCCCTTCCCATGTCTCTTATAGGAGAGGTGTGGCCTCTACAGATCCCAGCATGCAATGCTCCATCTTCATCCAAGTGGCTGGATCATTGAATGCTGGGTCCCGTAATCTCTGCACGGTCCGTGCACCCTAGGTTAAAGATGAGGGAGCTGCAGACCTTGATGTAGCCCTACTACGTTATCCTACCTGCTCTGGCCACAGGACGTACAATCCTCTTGTCCTTGGAGCATTGAGAGGATGCTGCTGCCTCCCCAGCCTCCTCTCAGGGAGGTACCTGAGTACCCTCCTACCATCCCTTTTGGAAGAGAGCCCCGTTTTCCTCCTTCTTCTAGGCTGTTGCTGCAGGGTGTAATTTCTGCTTGTTGGAAAGAACATAACTGCTAAGCTGGCTTTGTTCCTGTGCGTGGAGACCTGTCCAGCTCCTAGGGAACAGATGTCCCCATGCAAAAGCCACCAGCACAATTGGCTGTAATTGGCTGCTCCTCAGCCTCTCTGCAAACAGGCCTTGGAGGCCCAGTGGCAGGGCAGAGGGTACAGTGAGGCCTGCAGTCTCCATGGCTGCAGTGGACAGCTCTCACCAGCACCAACTTCCAACAGGAAGGGGTTAAAGGCAGAGTCCTGCTCTGTCTGGTTGCTCTCTGCATGGAACAGTGAGTGGGGAACTGTACACATGAGGCTGGAGTCATGGGAGCTCTGAGCTGTGAAGCGAATTGCACATCAAGTATAACTTCGGGGTTGGGAAAGCTCCTGTTGGCAGGGGAGGGTGGGCTCCCATTCCACCTCTCCTGCCAACTGCTTTTCCTGCCACCTCCCTTGCCCCCACATTAAACCCACCCAGAACTGCTTTCTGACGGCCTTGGGCCTGCTCCTGCTGTCACTGAAGTTGGGGAAATTTCAGCCACTGATGTGGATGGGAGCAGGCTCAGATTCCAGTGATGTACAGCGCCTTCCCTGCTGGCTCTGAATTTGCCCTGTGTCTCCCAGGGCAGGAGTAATGCCAGCAGCTCCAAGTGGCACTCTTCTGCCCCTTCCCTCTCTGATCTGCCACCAGCTCATGCGGCATTCCAGGCAGTGGAAGTCACCCTGCCTCATTTGGAAGACTATTTGCACAGCAAGGCCAGGCACAGGAAATGCTCCATCTGTTTTAATCCTCGAGAGAGAGAATAGAAAGGGAAAGATGGGATAGGTCTGAAATGGGCCTTTGAATTCACTTGGGAGGCCCTGCTGCTGCTATCACAGCCCTCCAGTTGAATCATGGCTCCCTCCTGGCTTTGGGGCCAGTGGACTCCAAAATCCGCTGGATTATGTCTTTCATAATAGGCTATAAATGTACTTCTGCTCACAGTTCTTTTGTGTTAATCTCTGTGACAAATTTTCTATCGATGCTGCGTGATCTCTCTTGCTGATTTCCACCGTTATCAGGGCTCGGCTGATAACGGTGCGCAGCTGCCTTTGCTTTGCTCTGACAGTGCGTGTTGCTCTGCTGGTGGCTTTCTTATGGAACAGGGACTGGCTCGAACGAGGGACCTTGCCAGGAGGGGAAAGGCTGACAGTGAGACCTTCTAGGCCAAGGTTTTGAAAGTGGATGAAGCGAAACCGGAACAAGGCACTCTTATTCCAGAGTAGGAGTGTCCACAGCTGGAGCTGTTCCAGAATAGCTCCATGTGTTGACAAGCCCTTATGCTCTCTTACAGACATGTAACTGTCGCCGCATTTGTCACTGCTGCATTAGCCCCTGGGGGGCAATAATTAGCTCTTTGCTAATGGGTCTCATTCCAGTAAGAGCTGTACCTCCATGACGGCAGGCTTAGGCGGATTAGCTGTTAGCATCATAGGCCTTCTTATCCCCGCTCTGTATCAATAATTCATTGGCTTGTAAATGGAATTGGGGACCCAATGGCTCGGCAGCAGTTCTGCAGAAAAGGACCTAGGGGTGACAGTGGACAAGAAGCTGGATATGAGTCACCAGTGTGCCCTTATTTCCAAGAAGGCCAATGGCATTTTGGGATGTATATGTAGGGGCATTGCCAGCAGATCGAGGGATGTGATCGTTCCCCTCTATTCGACATTGGTGAGGCCTCATCTGGAGTACTGTGTCCAGTTTTGGGCCCCACATTACAAGAAGGATGTGGAAAAATTGGAAAGAGTCCAGCGGAGGGCAACAAAAATGATTAGGGGACTGGAACACATGACTTATGAGGAGAGGCTGAGGGAACTTGGGATCGTTTAGTCTGCGGAAGAGAAGAATGAGGGGGGATTTGATAGCTGCTTTCAACTACCTGAAAGGGGGTTCCAAAGAGGATGGATCTAGACTGTTCTCAGTGGTAGCTGATGACAGAACAAGGAGTAATGGTCTCAAGTTGCAGTGGGGGAGATTTAGGTTGGATATTAGGAAAAACTTTTTCACTAGGAGGGTGGTGAAACACTGGAATGTGTTACCTAGGGAGGTGGTGGAATCTCCTTCCTTAGATATTTTTAAGGTCAGGCTTGAGAAAGCCCTGGCTGGGATGATTTAGTTGGGGATTGGTCCTGCTTTGAGCAGGGGGTTGGACTAGATGACCTCCTGAGGTCCCTTCCAACCCTGATATTCTATGACCCTGCCTATCCCTGGAGCATCACTGTGCTCTCCTTGCTACCACGCATCACAGCGCAGTGGTGCCGAGATGCAGGGTCGGTGGGAAGGACTCTTCCCTCTGGAGGGCTCGCCTATCTGTGACGATTGTTGAACCTTCCAAACTCTGCTATCCAGGGCTGCGGCCTGATTCCGTCCCAAAGTCCCAGGGAGTTGATGCTGCTCAGTTTGGCTCAGGGCCTGGCCCAGTTTTATTATGATTTTCTGAGTGGGGAGCGAGTCTCAGTGAGTGAGCACATGTCCCCCCTGGTGATATGGGGCTCTCTGGAGGGCTTCCTTCGGCGCTGCAAGGGGAGAGGTGCTGGCTGCTCCCGTGTCGGAGATCTAATGCCTGACCGGCTCTTGGGGCTAAAGAGAACCAGCAGGTGCAGTTGTGACCAGGGTGCAAAATGAGGTTCTGCCCTGAAGAGTGACTGTACAAGTGGCATCACAGGCCTATGTGTGACCAAGTCAGGCTGCAGCAAATCTGTCTAACTGATAACTAAGCAGCCAGCCCAGCCCACTCCCTGGAATCTGAGGGTCAGGCTGGGCACTTTCCTTCTCATGCATTGTTCCCGGAATGGGTTTGGTATTGCACCCTTAGAGGGAGCTAAGGCTTTAAGCTACAATGCATGCTCCGAGCTCAGGGCTGCAGCAGGGGCAAAAGCAGCCTCCGATGGAACAAAGCAGGCCAAGCCCCACAGCAGCATGAGACGGCCATGGCTGGAGAACCTTGGCCATCAGTTCTACTCATGGGGCCCCGAGAGAAACCCTCTCGCACTCCAAAGCAGCACGTACCTATCTCAGTCCCTGCAGTGAGCAGCTGAGCCTCTGATACTCCTGGGGAGTGAGATAGGGCCATTCTTACAGTCACGCTGCAGAGAAAACCCACGGTGACAGCGCGTGAGCCAAGCGACCTCTGGCAAAGGGAAGATGCCATAAGAACGGCCATACTGGGTCAGACCAGTGATCTATCTAGCCCAGTATCCTGTCTTCCACAGTAGCCAGTGCCAGATGCTTCAGAGGGAATGAACAGAACAGGGCAATTTATCATGTGATACATCCCGTCGTCCACTCCTAGCTTGGCAGAGTACAGCAGCAAACATGGATGCTTTGCGTGGGGGAGCCGTTCTGGTCACTCACTACCTGGTGGGGTTCCCAAGTGATGCCTGCAGCTTGGTCAGTGTCCAGATTGGAGGGTGGGTGTTTGTTTTCCCTAGCTGGGTGTCTCCAGCAAAGAGCAGCAGCCCAGATGTATTTAAATATTAAATATGTGGCTGGTAAATGATTCCCAGGAAAAACCCAGCTGGTTTCTCTTTCCAATGACGTCTGCTTGTCGATTGCAGCTGCAGAGCCGTGGCCGAGATGTCTGAGGGACCTTCCAGGATCTCAGGACCCATCCCTCCCGACCCCACGCTGTTCCCAGATTATTACAAACGCCCCCTGTCAGGTGAGTGCCGGTGGAGGATGGATGGGGTCCTACATAGTCATGGGGTGGCTTGTTCTCATTAAAGCCTTCCCGTCCGTAGTCCCATTTTGCTGCACAGTCACACTGGATCCATGGAGGGGGCCAGCATGGTGGCCCATTGAGGTGCCAGGCCAGAGGGCTTTTCTTTGGCCTGGCTTCCCCCAAGGCCTCCAGTGCAGGCAGGCAGGGGCTGGGGGTTCCTGCAGAGCCAGCACGCTCTGCTCCAAAGGGCACGGAATGGGCCTGCAAAGAAGCTTGGCACCTCTGAGATGTTGAGCACTCCCAGGACCAGGCTGATGTTAGGAGCAGCGGGGCTGGAAATTAGGAGAAGGTGGGCTGGGGAGGCAAGGGGGTTCTCCAGCCCAGGGCTGGTGCAACCACTAGGCGAACTAGGCAGTTGCCTAGGGCGCCAAGTGGTTGGCGGCGGCGGTGGAGTGGAGGTGAGCTGGGGCAGGGGGGCGCGGGGAGGGCCACCTGCAGCAAGTAACCGGGGGGGGGGGTGGGGGGTGGCGCGCAGCGCACAGGGGAACTGCTCCCCGCCCCAGCTCACCTCTGCTCCGCCTCCTCCCCTGAGCACCGCCCCACTCTGCTTCTCTCCCTCCCAGGCTTGCGCGCCAAACAGCTGATTGGTGTCGCAAGCATGGGAGGCGGGAGAAGCGGCGGCATGCTCGGGGACGAGGCAGAGTAGAGATGAGCTGGGGTGGGGAGCTGCCGCAGGGGGGGCTCCCTGGGCCGAGGAGAGGGAGGGAGGGAGGGGGTGGCGGGGAGCTGCCGCAGGGGGGGCTCCCCGGGCCAAGGGGGTGGCGGGGAGCTGCCGCAGGGGGGGCTCTCTGGGCCGAGGGGGGGGAGGGAGGGAGGGGGTGGCAGGGAGCTGCCGCGGGGGGAGGGAGGGAGGGGGGCGGCGGGGAGCTGCCGCAGGGGGGGCTCCCCCGGCTGAGGGGAGGGGGCGGCGGGGAGCTGCCGCAGGGGCGGGGCAGTGCAAGGTGGAAGTTTCGCCTAGGGCTCCAGCCTCATCCGAGCCCTCCTTGGCCAGAATGGGGCTAGCCCACAGCAGGCCTGGGGCATGGAGGGAGAAAGCGATGGGGTGGTGCTGTACATCTTGACTCTCACACTTTCTCTCTCTAGCTCGAGGGAGGCTGGAAGGGAATGCCTTGAAGCTGGACTTCTTCTCTGGCCCTCTAGCCCCAGATCCCAGCCTGTACCCCACCTGCCACAGTGCCCGCCCTGCCCATCCTGCCCCGCGTATCCGCCCCAATGGTCAGGACATCCTGGAGAAGGGGCAGAAGGGGACGGTTGGGGTCTTGCTGAAGCTGGAGGGGATCTCTCTCTACAGGGAGCCTCCCCTGAAAAGTAAGTGCAACTGAGCAGCTGGAGCTGACCGTGGCTAAGGGCAGAACGAATACTTTGATTGGACACAGTGGCAAGGCCTTAGGGTGGGGATTTCCAACCGAATAGCCAAGCGTTGGATTTGTTGATGGCTGATTGGCTCTGGGTGGGCTGCAATGGGAGCAGTGTCCGTACCCTGGGGTTATTGAGGTTGTAGCCTCACCCTAACTGCAGCATGGCCTTTGTCTGGAGCTAGGAAGGGAGAGTGGAGAGGAGACCTGCTGGTGGAGGACAGGCTGAGGGGCAGTCTGGGAGCAAATGGAGCACTTCAGTTTACCCTGGCTCAAGGTTGCGGGATGGTGGTTCAATAGAGAGGCAACACACTTAAAGCTGAAAAGATGAAAAGAAGTGTGTTTTACACAACACGGTTAGCCTGTGGAACTCACTGCAACAAGAAGTCATGGAGGCCAAGAGCCAAGTAGATTCAAGGTGATTATCCAGATGCGTGGATGGTGAGAACAGCCATGGGGAGTGCCTTGCAAAGGAGGGCTCTGCTGGCCTTGGAATCTATGACCTCGTTCTGGCTCCCCTGTTTGCTGCCCCAGCTCAGCTGTCTGGAGATTGTTCTGGCTTGTGCCTGCAGAGGACAGCCAGAGTGCACCAGCCGCTGTCTGTCCTGGAGCTGGGAATGTCAGTGGGAAACTCCCCTGTCTGGGGTAAATCCCCACCAGGAGGATTGTGGGTAATTTCTACAACCTGAGCTGAGGACAGAGAACCTGCCCTAAAGTACTGACTGTGGACCCTAGACCTTTCTGAATCAGTCTGGTTTGCCCTCAGGCAGGAAGGGCAGATGGGTCCAACATAGAGTCTGGCATTGCTGTTAACACTGCCCCCCACACGCTGGGAAGGCCTGTGGTTCCCCATCTCACCCTCCCCCTGGGGCAGGAGCGACCAGCAGTAGTTTTCTCCCCTGGGTGCTGGGGCATTTGTGGCACGATGCTGAGCTAGAGCATTGGCCCAGCTCTCTGGGCTGTCAGGTAGTGGAGGGGGAGGGACAGTCTCCGCATGATCCCAAACAAGAGAGCTAGGATTCAAACCAGTCCCACCTCCAGCTGCGTGGCGGAGCCTTCTGGCTCTACTGATCGGCTGTGTGACGCTTGTCTGCAGCGCTCCCGGGGCCAGCAGCAGAGGGTGCTAGTGAGTTGCTCTGTGTCATGGCACAATTGAGTCACTCCAGAAAAGCCAGTGTCTTATGTGTGCTTACAAGGGGCTCAGTGGGTATGATTCTATCGCCCCCTGGTGGCTGGCACACAGGGAGGATAACCGCTTGCTGCTGTTTGCAGTGAACGGACTAGCTTAGGTAGAGGCCTTGGTCTCTGGTGCCAAAGGTCGTGGGCACCCACTTATGGCTCGGGAGGGTTTGTTGGTAAAAGGTGTCTCTCCCTGGGGCGTGCAGGGAAAGAGGCCAAGGACCATGAGAAGGAGAACGTGAGGCGGATGAGGGAGATCCAGAGGAAATGCAAGGAGAAGGAGCTGGCGCGGGAGCACAGCCATCCCAAACCCATGAAGGCCCTGTGGAAGTCCCAGAAGTATGAGAATGTGGAGTCCAAGGTGAAGGCCAAGCTGCAGGTACCTGCCCACTGCCCTGTAGCCCTTCATGGTCCATTGCCCCGGCTGCCAGGAGGCTCAGCCCAGTCAGCGTGTCCCGGAGATACCAGGCAGGGCACCTCGATTTGCAGGGAGACCATGCGTAGCTCTGCAGAGCCCTGCTCAGTAGCACAGGGGATGAAGTGTTCCCTTCCCATGCTGCTGCAGAGGTGAGAGCAGAGCCATGTCCCGGGCGGGAATACCCGGCTCTGGCGAGGAGACCAGTGGCTAACATCCGGTTAAAGGTGACTCAGTGTGATGGGAAGGGTCTGGCCACTGCCCAACTTGGGAAGAAATGGAATCCCCGCTGTGGTTCTGCACTGTGGCTGTCGTGGGATGGGATTAGAAGATGTCCCCATGGCAGTTGGCTGCTCCAGCAGGTGGGTATGACGCAGCACTCGTTGGTATGAAGAGATCAGGGCATTCCGACGCTACTAGATGGCGGCATCGCTGAGGCACTGCCTGGAAAGCTGCTGTTGTGGTCTGTGGTCTATGCCCTGCAGCTCTCACCTATGGAATCGGACGGGTCCACGCCATGCTGTGCTGTCCCACTCTGCAGGTGGGTCGCTGGTCTCATGCATGAAACCAGATCAAAAGGGAAGAGTGACCCAGCCCCTCAGTCCGAAGGGCACAGAGCTCTTAATAGCTCAGACCCACTCGGGACTTAGACACTTGGCATTTTAACAGGCTGTCCCAGAATCACAGGGTCTGGTCTATGCCACGTCTGGACCCCCAGGACCCACACGGTTCCACAGGACAGGCCCGTGACCATGAAACTGGGCCCTTGGGCACCTGCGACCCCGTCTCTCTCCGTGGCTCCCTGCAGCGAATCCAGCCCAGCCAGGCTCCTGTGGGAGGCTTGTACTGTCCCCTTCAGGGCACAGCGCTCTCAGGGCGTGTTTGCAGTGACACCAGGCAGGCTTTTCACAGCAGAGCCGGGTTTATTGTGGGGAATTCCTTAGGTCAGCACAGAGAAGTGAAGGTTGACATGGTCCGTCCTGGCTATGCCCGCACTCCACCCAGCCATGGTGCTGTTAATTCCATCTCCAGAGAGAGTTGCTGAGTCTACCCAAAAGCCACCACTTAGCCCTTCCCTGACAACCCACTTGGAGGTCACGTGTTCCTCCAACTGGAGATTTCCCAGGCTAGGTGTCAGTCGTTCGGCCCCTGGGGCTCCTGTTGTTGTTCTGGATCCTCCACTGATATGGGTCGGTTTCAGCCAGTTCTTTAATGCCCCATTCATCCCACCCCAGCCAGTGACACCTCCCTCGGTCTCCCGCTCTGCCCTAGTTGCAACCACTGGGTGACAATGCAAACTGCAGAGGGACACTGAAGCACGCAGAGGCATAATAAAAAGATTACAGAAAATTCCCACTTTGTCACACAGGTATTCTAGTCCCTGCCACAGCCGGCTGCAGTGTGAAGCCTCGTCCTGTCTGGGGGCACTCAGGGCACTGTATGTCCGAGTGCTAAATTCACTGGCAGCCCATGGGTTTGCTTCTTCAGATTCCTGTGTCATACTTCAGTGTCACTCCATTGTAAATCTGCATTAGGCCATTGAATTCACTGGCAGGATCTGGCTCCGCGTATCCCCTGCTGGCTGAGTTCCCTGCTTGGCTGCCTCCTCGAGGAGACCTTCCCGTGGCATTTAGCAGCAGGGCCTGGGGTCGCCCATCTACCATGGAACTCCTGGGTGATCCTGGGCTCTGAGGGGCTTTGCCGTGTGGTTTGCCCTGTCCCAGCAGTAGTGTCTCTCTCTCTCTCTGTATTTTCTGTAGTATCTGGCTGATGAATCTTGCCCATATGCTCAGGGTTTAGCTGATCGCCATATTTGCGGTCGGGAAGGAATTTTCCTCCAGGGCAGATTGGAAGGCCCTGGAGGTTTTTCGCCTTCCTCTGTAGCATGGGGCACGGGTCACTTGCTGGAGGATTCTCTGCTCCTTGAGGTCTTCAAACTACAATTTGAGGACTTCAATAGCACAGATATAGGTGTGAGGTCTTTTTTAGGAGTGGTGGGTGAAATTCTGTGGCCTGCATTGTGCAGGAGGTCAGACTAGATGATCATAATGGTCCCTTCTGGCCTTAATATCTATGAATCTATGAATCTATGAATCTCTCCCTCTGCATTTCACAGGAGAGCTCTCCCCCCCCAAACCCAGAGTCTCAGAAATTCCTCCGGGCGTATTCCCGCTGCGGCTCCGGGGTCCAGCCACGCCGGTCGCTGTCGCCCAGCCCTGCCAAAACGAGAGCGGTGACAGACACAGAGGCTGCAGGAGCACCACACACTGATGCCAAGGTGAGGGACTTTGCTCCCCTGGCTCCATGCTCCTGGTGCTCCAGAATCGCTCCTGCGTCTCGCTCTGCACAGGTTCCTTCACTCCAGCCGCAGAAGGCCCCATGCTGTGCAGGGGGGTCACTGCTGTCTGGCCTCTCATGCTGCCCCCTTTCCTTCCAGATCCAGGTAGAAGGCACCAGCGTCGACTTCGTCAGCCACAATGCCCGCACCGCCAAGCGGGCCCCTATGCGGCGCTCGCGCTCGCTGCAGTCACTGGCCGAGGTGCTGGAGCAGAAGCGCCGAGAGCAGGAGGAGTACAACGCCAAGCAGAAGGGCCACGTGCCCCAGTAGTACGTAGGCTCCTGCCCAGCCGGCGCCTCTGTCACGAGCAAGCCTGTACCCACTTGCTGCGCCGTGCGTGGGACGGCAGCGGCTTCTCTCGCAGCAGCGTGCTCCTTCGCCACTCTGCCTAGTGAGCTCCCGGGGTCGGTGCAGTTGCACCAGCAATGAGCTTGGCCCAAGAGGATCCAACGAAATCCCCGACGAAGCTGCTGTGTGCAGGGCAGCGGGGCCAGGGAAGGCTGCGCATCGCGGCCTGGTGGCTCTGCGCAATGAAGCTGCTGAGTGTCAGCTGCTCCTGTTGCCTTGCGGGTGCTCAGCTCTGCTGGGAATGGGAGCCAAAGTGACTTAGGAGCCTCAGTCTCATTGAAAGGCTCCTCAGTGCCTGAGTCACTTCCCCTAAGTGCCGAGCATGTCCAACAATGGCCGGTGGGGCCTCCGGAGCGACACCCGTAGGGGACCGAGCAAAGCCCGGAGCCTAGGGCTGTGTGGAGATGCCACAGGGCTGATTCCTCCAGATCAGGCCCTGGCCCTGGCCCTGGCCCTGGCCCTGGCCCTGTGCTGGCAGGCTGCGCTGCCTGTGCTGTGCCAGGCCTTTGGAGAGACTGAGGCCCATGGTCTCCAGGGCAGTCTGTCGCTCAGTAGGGTGACAAGTCAGCTCCTGCTGGGCCAGTATTGGTGAGCCTGGCACCCATCCCTGTCCCGTCTGAGCCTCTTGCCCCCGGCCATCTGGCCCTTCCTGGATCCCTTCCCTCACTGCACGTGCTGACAAACCCTCCTTCTCCCTCGGCAGCCTGCTGGAGCGGAAGGATCACTGGCGCAGGGAGATGGAGGAACGGCAGCGAAACCTGCCCGACCCTGACATGCCACCAGGTCACACCATGATGCCAGAGAGCGAGCGGCTGGAAACCCTCACCAACCTGAAGCAGAGTAAGAGGAGAGAACCACTGGCGCCTGCTGGAGAGGCCTCCCCGGAAGGGTGGGAAGAGATGAGCCCGTGCGGCTCTGCAGAGCCACACGCTATGCCAGAGGACGGTTCTGCTGACTGCAGCGCTAGCCTCGGCCGTGGGGTGTCACTCTTCTAGGATCCATGGTGCTAATCTCCCCTCTCCCCCCTGGACAGTCAGACGCCCCAGACGCCCCAGCCCCAGCCCAGCCCAGCCGCCCCCTCTCCCTCCAGCTGAAGGGCCTGCAGAAGTGTGATGCGCGGAGTGGGACACAATGTTCTGGGGGGGGTCTCAGTGCAGGGTGGCTTCTTCCCCCTGTGACAAGCTGCCTCTGTGAACAGGGGCCTTTGTGTGGGTGTAGCAGGTCAGCTGCCCTGGGGACCACATAATGGCCTGTTAGCTGGTCTCCGGCGAGTGAGAACCAGTGCTTAGTGCTACAGCAGGAAAGGCATGGCTGTGCCCCCTCTCACCAGCTCCCTGCCGTCCGCAGGCCAGGAGCAGCTGGTGAAGGACCTTGTGATGCTGCCGGTGCGGGCCGACACCCTGAGCATTCAGAAGAGGCGGGTGGAGCTGGAGAAGAAGCTGTCGCAGATCGATGAGGCCCTGAAAATCTTCTCCCGGCCCAAGGTCTTCATCAAGCTGGACTCCTGAGAGAGGGGGGTGGTTGTGCTGTGCGTGGATCTGCCACTCTGCTGCGGGGGCTCCTGGTCACTTCGCTCTGTGGGTTGGGGGGGAGGGAAACCAAACTCAATCTGCTTCCACTGGCTGCTGCAGCAGCTCCTGCGTTGGGGATTCCCAGAGCCCAGCCCAATGCCGCACAGCCAAGCTGGCCCCGGCAGAGGGCAGCGGGGCCCTTGTGGGTCACAACACCAAACGAACCCAAGGGGTGCTGCCAGGGGCCATTGTCTTCAAGGCAGCGCCCCAGCCTCTGACCGGTGCGGGGCTCTTGAGGGGCAGACTGGCCAATGGCACCTTCTGTGCAGCGTTGCTTGGAAAGCTGCGGGCCCGGTGCTGCTCAGCTGCCTCTCTGCCACTCTGTGCAACTGGGCTTACCAGCCTCTCGCTTATATGGAGTGATGGTTTGTGGGGAAAAAGGAGGAGCAGCCATTCCTGTGCCGCTCTGCCCGGCACCCCGTCTCCGGCCCGCCTTCCTCCCAGGATGGAGCTGGGAGCCACAGTGGGCGTTTGGAGGGAAATCCTTTAAGGCGGGAGTTCGGCAGCTCTACGGCTTGGGAGAGTCTGAGCGTAACCCTGCAGCACCCCACTGCTGGGGAGGGTGTGACACAGCCGGGCCTGAGAGCCAGCTCCCTGCCAGCCCAGGCTGGACCTCTGCCCGGTGCTCCTCTGGCCTGGCCACCGCTCCCCTGCAGCCCTCTGCCAAAGGCCATCTGCCTGGGCCGGGGGGGCAGCCCTGCAGCCGCGGCTTGTCCCACCTGCGAGGGATGCTTGGTAGGCCAAGACTAGCAAAGGGGCAGAGTAACCAGGTGTGGGGATCTTGTCCCTGCTGGCAGGGAGCTGGCACTGGGGACTTGGGGGGAGCTTGGGAACCCTTCTGGGGATGTGTTGGACAGCTTTTAAATAAAGGGTTTTGTAGGTATTGTGTGCGGCAGGTGTGTGTGAGGGGGAGGGCTGGGTGGGTGCTGCTTTGTGCTGTGTGGACAGGTGAGGCTGGAGTGGGTCGAGTGTTGGGCATTGGCAGGGCCCAGGGTGGGGAATGCCTGGCTGGGCACTGCACTGGCTGGCAGGTGGGGGCAGTGCATGGTTGGTTGGTGTCTGGGCAGTGGGGCCCAGGGGCTGAGGGGGGAGCCTGCCAGGTGCTGTGCTGGGGGGCAGAGTCTGGGTAGTCTGCACCTTTCATGCTCCTTGGTGATCCAGCTGTATGCACGTGTGGTGCCAGATGGTGCTGTCCTCCAGCTGCGCAAGCCTGCTGCATGAGGGGGAGGCAGGGATGCCTCCAGCTGTTCCCAGCGACTGAACCAGCCCCTTAAGGCTGAGCAGCCCGTCCCACCAGCTGAGGATTTGACCTCCTGTCTGGGACTGTCAGTGGTTGCTGGTGCTGCTTCTCCCTGCTGCCTTGCAATGGGCCATGGAGGAAAGAAGAAACTCCTGGCAGAGGAGGAGCAGCAGCTAAAGGCCTGTAAGTCTGGGGAAAGCCAGGCCAGGCCTTTGTGGGCACGCACTGTCTGCTGAAGCTAGCCCAGTCTTGCTGCTGGAGCAGGGGGAGCGTGATGTGCAAGCCCTGGACCACACTGCCCTAGCCAGGCTCCCACCAGGGCTAGCTGGTAAAGATGGGGAAAGAGGCTTCAGGCAGTGCAGTAACCCACGAGCTCTAGAGGCTGCAGGAGATGGGGGTGAGATGGAGACTTTCCCTTCCCAGGGGTAGAGAGTCCAGCCCCTCTCAGCGGTGGTGGATGGTGGCCTTTGCGCTGGGTGTGTAGCTGGTTCGTTCCCCTGCTTCATGGGTGACTCTCCCCATTGCAGGCAGTGCTAAGGCACCAGCGTGTCAGGCACACAGCCCCCACGCTGGCTTGGTGGGGGTGCTGCTGCACCGACAATGCGAATCCCTTCCGCAGCACCAAACTGTGCCCCGCAGCCTAATAAAATAGCCGGGCTCAGAGTGCGAGCGGTTCCTGCTGTGCTGGCAGAATTGTCCGGCCCAGGGGTAGGAGTGGGATTGGAATCTGCCCCCTGGGTTTTTGTAAATCTCCAGTCTTGTGCCCTGAGAATGGGAGCGGGCAGGGCCCTGTGCCTGCGGGCAGAAAGTGTGTGTGTGTGGGGGGAGATGACCCCTAAATGGAGAACGTAGTTGCTGAGGCATGTGCTGGAGGGGGCTCTGTTACAATTGTCGGCTGCTGGGGCCCTGCTGTTCGGGGGCTGGGGCGGCGGCTTCAGGAAAGGGAAACGGCAGAAGAGCTGGTGGACTGGTTGCAAAAGCTGCAGCAAAACCACAGTTGGGTAAAGGAGCTGAATGCAGAGGAGCTGTAACTGATGGGGCCAGGGCAAGGCGGTCGAGCTCCCAGCCTACTCTGAGCAGGTCCTACACCTGCTCCTCCCCACCTAAGCAACTCAAACACCAGCTCATGCTGCCCTGTGGCTGCTCTGTGCTGCTGGGGGAAACCAGCAGGGGAATGCCCCCGGCTCAGGAATCTCACAGCTCCGCATGTGTCAGGAGGAGACTGCCGCATGGGTGAATGCTGGGCTCTCGAGACTGGATTCCCCACAGTCCATCATTACCCCTGTGCAAGGGAAGCATGACCTGCTGCCAGCTCAGGATGGCAGCATTTTCCCCTCACTGGGCCCAGGGGCAGGCTGGGGGAACATCCACCCTGCTGCATTCCAGTCTGATGCTCCAAGGCCCTGGGCAATACATCAGCCAACAAGTGCTAAATTTGGAAAAGGAGCAACTCCAGCTGGGTAATTGTGCAGTATGGCCCCCTTGTGTATTGTTAGGCTTCTTTTTGTTCCTAATATACCTTAAAAAAAACTCCTCCTTATTGTCCTTAACTCTGCTGGCCATAGATTTTGGCTTGTGTCCCTTTGCTTCCCTTATCAATTTTCTACAATTCCTAGTTTCTAACTTTATATTAATTACTAGCAAGTTCCCCTGTCTTCCATGGTTATTTTTTATAGCTACCCTCACTTGCCCTCTAAGCCAGGTTGATTTAACCAATATGGCCTTTTCCCTCAAGTATGGCTTTTTGGGCATCTAGTAAAGTGTTCTTAAACAATTCCCAATTATCATTCACATTGTTCAGATTAAATTCGTCCTCCCAGCTGATTTGGCTTCTAGCTGTTTTTAGCTTTGTGAAATTGGCCCTTTTGAAGCACCAAGTGTGTGTGCGTCTCTAATCTATCTGTCTGTCTGTCTCTGTTGTGGACTTTATTCTGTTTGCACACTATAAATGTGATCAAATCATGAGTCCTTCTTTTTTAGTTCTGTGATCAGTTCCTCTTTAGTTATTCGGACAAGGTCTAATATAGAATTTCCCTGTATTAGAAGCAACAGTGTTTGAGTTTGGAAATAGTTGTTTATGGTTAGAAGTGCCAAGCGTGGTTTAGTGTGGCACCAGGAGCCTTGCAGCGTGTGTCCCGCAGTTGAAGTCCCCCATGGCACATGGCACTTTTTTCTACGTTAGAGGTCGGTGCCTAGGGAACCACTCGTGCTGGTCCCTGCTGTGATTTGGTGGGCTGTAGCAGACACCAATTAATACCCCATCTTGTGCTTTATCTGTTAGGCCTTGATCTATATACATCCAAGATAATTTTCTTTCACATTTTCCATGACAGAGTGCCATTCCCCCACCCCTTTCGCGCACTCAATCCTTCCTAAATAGGTTAGAACCATTGATTTTAACATTCCACTCATGGGTCCCATCCCACCGGGTTTCAGTAATACCAGCGAGATGAAATTTATGATCCTATGAGCACTTGCAATTCCTTTTGTTTGTTACCCAGGCTCTTGGCATTAGTGTGTAGGGAATTAAAGCATTTCTTCTCTTCCTGTCCTTTGGTTCCTTGGTTAATTGTATTCTCAACATCTCAATGTTGTTCTAAATGAGCGCTCAGATCATCCCTTTTACCCTCCCCCTTTAACACCCTCCAGACTACTGTAGTCAGCCTATCCCTGAACTGATTGGTTTCCTGTCTACTGAAGGGGAGGTCATCCAAACTATACAGCCTCCTCACCCCGTAGGTGGTGGACCAATGTTCCAGTAAACCAAACCCTTCCACGCTACCCCACTTATCTAGCCAGCAGGTCACTTCCAGCATCTTCTGCTTTCCTTTGCTTGTGGAACAGGGAGGCTCCTAGAGGCAATCACTTGGCCGTTCTGCTTCTGGGTTCCCTGAAGTCACCTACTAGCTGTGGTGAACAGAAAAAAAGAACAGGAGTACTTGTGGCACCTTAGAGACTAACCAATTTATTACAGCATAAGCTTTCGTGGGCTACAGCCCACTTCATCGGATGCACTGAATGTGAGCTCTAGCACAGAATACTAGCTGTGAGCTCTCCCGTGACGCAGTGTCAATCTGAACCATCTGTGATGTTGGCAGACCAGGTGCCGGCTCATGCCTCCATTGAACGTGGACAGAGACCGTGCTGGGATCAGTCTGGCGCCTCTGTGTGTTAATATCGTTCAAAGAGGTATTAGCATGTTCAGGGGTTAGACTTTATTGAATGCTTGGGAGTTGCTGCCTGCGTTAAGCTCACTGATAACAGCTGCTTTCCATACTGTAAGGTCATGTTTGAGCAGTTGTATTATGAGCCTCTGTACCTGTGTAAATCACCAGCCAGGAGAGAGCCCCATTAATGAGCGTGAAGTGCTGGTCTCCAACAGGAGGTGTTCTGGCCTGCCCGCCAAGGAAGGCCCCTCAACACCAGCTGACAGCAGTGGGACACATGAAAGAGGACAAAGGACTGTATTGTTGACTCCCACCCCCACAAAGAGTAGTCTTGCAAGGGAACTCCTCCCATCAGCTGAAGTTGCAGTTCAAAGCAGGAGTAGGGCAGGCGTTAAAAACCCCTAACACGGAGGAACTGGTTGTCTATGTTGCTTGGACACTGGGGGCCAGGTTTCTAGGCATAAGCGAGAGATCCCCAGTGCTTAGCCTGAGTTAGATGCACAAATGAGTTCCAGGCTTCAGTTTCCAAAGGTAATAGACATTTCTGTAATAAGCAAGTTCTGTATGTTCTTTAGGCCTATGTTTACCTGCTTTAGCCTTGTCAATGACTCTCATTTCCTTTTCCTGTTAATAAATCTGTATATAAGTTTATGATAGGATTTGCTACAAGCATTGTCTTTGGTGTGAGATCTAAGGTGCAGTTGACGTGGGGTAAGTGACTCGTCTTTGGGACTGGAAGTAACCTGGATATTGCTGGTATAAGGGAGCATCTATCACACAGCTACTCACCTGGGTGCCAAGGCAGATCGGTGTGCCCAAAGGGGACTGTTGTGACTGTTAGTGCCTGAGGCGTTTACACTGGGTACTTTGGTGAAATCCAAGTATAGAGCTTCCGGCCAGCTTGGGGCTTGTGCCCTGTTTCGTAACAGCCTGCCCTGATGTCAGCACTCTTGAGCCCCTGCAGGGCAGGGTGCCGCCATCCCTAAGGGATCTGCTCCTGGTGCCGCCCGCCTTGGCCCCATCCTTCTGTTCCTGGCAGAATGTTCTGTTCGTTCTCCTGTGGACCGAGGCCCCAGCTTGGGCGGCTGGAGAACTCTTTGTGGATAAGCTTGATTTTTCTTACAGGTTGGGCTGAGCTGCCAACCACACATGTGCCCCGGACATTGCGCTGGTCCCTTGGGCCTGCTGGATCTTGAGGTATCTGCCTTAGTGGCCCCATTGAGGACCTGGTATTGATTAGAAACTCTCAGCTGTGGCAGCCCCAGTCAGCCCACTGGTATCTAGCCCTAGCCGTGTAGCAGCTGGCCATGCCCTCTTGCCTCTCCTCTCTGCTGTCAGCTTTCTCCAACTCATCTGCCTCAGCGCACATAGGGGCTAACCCAGCAGCAGGCTGGGGCCAACCTGGCTTGCATCTTCCAGCCCCAGGCATGTGAGAGACCCATGCTTCTCCAAGACCGCCTCCCCCCCCCCCCCCCCCCATATTGGTGCCTGCCCCAGGGAAAGGCAGGGGCTTTCCTGGAGGGGGAGCCATGTTTGTATGAGCGAGGCACAGTTAGAACAGGCCGGGGGTAGGAGCCTGGGGGCTGGGCTAGCTGCCTGCGCTGCTGCCCCACAGCCAGCATTAGTCTGGTGCGGCCCCCCCCTCACCCCCTGCACCGTCAATGCTGGGGCCCGACCTAGCTTTGCTGAGACCCCTTCGTCCTGCCCTACAGCCCTGCTGCTTGTCCAGCCCTGTACCCAGACCCGGCGCGGCACAGGGCCCATGGGGGCTCCTGGCTGCTGCAGTACCGCACGCTCCTTGAGCAGCAAGAGCATGTCGCTGGCTCTGGGGCCGGGGAGAAGCTGGGATGTGCCTTTGGCCAGGGCAGCCCCTCCCTGCAGCACACAGCCCGTGAGCACTGAAACCAGCCGCGTGCCTGCACCTGGCTCAACCCCACTGGCTTTCCGGCTCCTGCAGGGGATTTGCAGTGCAGCCTGCTGCCCCTTCCCCGCCTACATGCGCGGGGCTGGCTGCCGGAACTGGCAGGGCCCGTGGACTCTGGATACACATGCACACACCCTGGGTGCACTCGCGAGGCCAGGCAGGACACTCGGGATGACACCGCTACATGGGGGCTGGAGCTGCTATTCGGTCTCTTCCCCAGCCAGGCAGGCAGGGAGCATCTGCCCTTCTTGGCGATCAGCTGTATTACACAGGTGCTCCCTGGTGCACTGGGGCTGTGTGGACACACCCTGGTGCACTGGGGCTGTGTGGACACACACGCCAGTCCCAGCCCTCTGGATGGATTTGCATTGTCAGAAAACTAACTTAATCTGCCGGGTGCTTTTTTTTTAATGTGGGTCTAACGCTTTGCCGTGTGAGCCCAAGCCCCTGGGCTAACGGTAAACGTTTCTGTGGCCAGCTAGAGATGCTGAGCGGTCCCGCGCTAACAGATCCAACTGTTGCCAGTACAGCAGCTGGCGTGCCCACAAGCGCCCTGCCCGGGAGCCACGTGCGTGAGGGGCCGGGCGCCGTTAGCCATCTCAGCCAGATGCGTTTGTTTAGCGAGATGTGTTTGTGGCTGTTGGGGGGGGGGGGGTGTGCAGTGTTGCCGTGTGTGTGTGTGTGTGTGTGTGTGTGTTTGGGGAGTTGGGGAGGTTTTGGTTTTTTTCCTTTTCCAAGGTAGTAACCTTAGGGCCAGCCGGGCGGGCCAGGGCTCGTTGCTGGCTGCAACCTGTTTCAGAGGCAGGCTCCTGCTCCCACTATGCAGTGCTCAGCCCCCAGGGCCAGCTGGGACCCATGGCCTCCCTGGCCTCGCAAGCATGGCCCCAGGGTCTGTCCGTGGTGGGGCCTGTGGGTGTGGGAGGGCTGCCACCGTGGTGGTAAAACGAGTGCAGCACAGGCCTGGGGCCCAGCTCAGCTCTGGAGCAAGCGAGGGGGCCCTGCTGACTACAGCTGTGCTAAGGCCTGCAGAGCCCTTGGCTTCACCCCCTGTGGCCGGCGCTGGAGGCTGACGGTCCCATGCTGCACTAGTGCCTGGGAATCCCACCTGGCGCACCCCAGGCCCGTGGCCAGCGCTCAGCCCAGAACCAGCCAGGGTCCCACTTAATTCCTGGGCCGTGCTCCTTGGGCAGCACCATTAGCTCCACCGGGGCACCTGGGGGCTGGCCGAGATGAGGTGAGAGGCGTTTTGGGGGAGGGAGATAAAGGCTGCTCCGAGGGGGTTGGTTTGGGGGGGCCGGGAACACCTGGGAGCTGAGCACAGGTCTGGGGCTCGTGGGGCTGGTGCCACGGCATGGTGCCACGACACGGCATGGTTTGTTCTAGGCATGCCCTGCGCCATGTGACTCCCCCCGGCAGACGGTCTCCCCCCCCCCTAGAACACAGGTTCATGCCTTGGGGGGAGGGGTCACTGCCACCATGTCCCTCTGCCCGGCTCCCTGCAGCCAGCCCGGCCTCGCCCCTCACGACTTGTGTCGCCCAAGAGCGGGGGGAGGCAGCCGAGCTGGGGCCCAGCTAAGCCTTTGGCCTGAGCGTTTTGAGTGTCCTTCTGCAGCAGAAATGGGCAAGGGCCCCCCCCTCACCTGGCACCCCCCAGCGAGGCCTGGCCCCTGGGCATTTCTGTGGGTCGGTGCGGGGAGGGAGGGGGCAGCAAGGAAGGGCACCCCCAAGACGCCTGTGGCAGAGGCTCTGCTGGCCTGGCAGAGCCCAGCCACCCGGGCAGCGTTAGCCCCCCCACGCGGCGCCCGCAGTTTGACCTGGAGCCACTGGGAGCTGCCTGGGCAGGTGGCGAGATGAGCTTTGCCTCAAGGAAATGCTGAGGCAGCCGTGGATTACTGCTGGCCCGGGGCCGAGGGCTCTCTGGGCACAGCTAACCCATGTCCTGCTAGTCACAGCAGGAGTCCTCCTGCCGGGGGCCGGCCCGCGGGGGGGGATACCAGGGCAGGATGGAGGGGCCCCAGCTCTCTGTCCCCCCAGGGGGAGGCAACGGCGCCCCAGCCCAGTGCACGGCCCTGGCAGGAGTTTGTTCCTGGGCTGCAGCTGGGATTCTCCAGGGCAGGTTCACACCGTTCCCTGGCTCTGGCCCATGGCAGGGGCCGGGGGCTGCTCCTGGCAGGACTGCACTCAAGCGGGCTGGGCAGCGCAGGGCCTGGGAAGCCTAGGGCTGGAGGGAGGAGCGGCCGCTGGGCCCAGAGGGCCAGGGAATGGCTGCTTACCACGGGGAGGCCCCAAGAAGCAGGGCCCGGACCCATGCCAGCACCTCCTGCCCTGCTGGGGAAGGCGCCCGTCTCCGCCCGGCGCCTCAGGGCCTTGTGATGTGATTCATGCCACATCCTTGCACAGGGGGTGGCGATTTATGGCTCCTGAGCCAGCGGGGGAAGGGCACGGGGGTTGGCAGACCCCAGTGCCCTCATGCTGAATGGCACCCAGGCCCGGCGGGTGGGTGTTAACCCTTTCGCAGCTGGGGAGGCGGAAGTCCTGCGCCGTGGGGCAGAGTGCTGCCCAGGGCTGCGCCCAGGGGACGTCCGTGGGATGGAGGGGGCGTGCCTTGGGCAGCACTCACCTGGTCTGGAACATGCCCCCGTGGTCTGTCGGGCGCAGCCACTGCCCAGCAGAGAGCGGGGACCGGGGAGGCGCCATTCCCCTCCTTAGGGGGCAGCCCTGCCCATGGGGAGTTAGCGGCCGCACTGATGCCCCGAGGGCCAGGCAGGCTCCAACCCCTCCCTGCTCGGCCTGTTACGGGCCAGGAGCGCTCAGGGCTGGAGTCACTAGCATTTCCGCCCGCCCTCCCTAGTTACCCAGGCTTGGGAGTGGGGCAAGCCCTGGGCCCTCTTGGGACCTGCCCCCAGGGCAAGCACAAGAGATGAGCGGGCGCTTTCTAGAAAAGGTTTAATGGCCCATCGCAATATATTAATTTATGATGCATATTTTCATAAAACAATTTAAAAAACCCACTTGATTGGAAGGAAAGGGGCGGGGGGGGTGGGTCCGAGAGGGGCAGTGTCTAGTCATTTGGTTCCCCACGAGGGTGGGGGAGCCCCACAGCTGGGGGAGGGGAAGGGCTCAGCGCTCACGTCTCCACTCCCGGCTGCCACCCTTCCTGTGGCGGGGACAGGGCGCCCAGAGGAGGAGACTGGCTGGGGCAGGGCCCGGCTGGCCACCGCTCCCATGCCAGCGAGAGGGGAGGGCAGGCGGGCAGCCCCCAGGCCTGCCACCCAGGTGGTTCCTCTATAGGGTGAGGAGCGTGCCATCCTCCCGCAGACCGCCCCCGCGGCTTCCACTGGCACTGCCCAAAGAGTGCAGGGAGCTGGGCAGCGCCAGGCTCTGCTGGCAGCTCTTGTCCAGGAGGCCGCCGTTGGGGCAGCGGGCGGCGCCATCGCTCTCGATGACCAGGTCCCCCTCCTCGTCGCTCTCGCCCTCGGCCGTGCTGTAATGGTTCAGGTAGTGGGAGGCGGGGCTGGGCGTGCTGTCCGTCGAGACGCCCGAGCTGCCTGAGGCCTTGCTGCTGCGGATGACATTGTTGCGCTGGTTGGCCGGCTTGACGGTGACGATGAGGTTGTGGCTGTTGGCCACCATCATGTCCGTCACCTGGTCCAGCGACTTGCCGGCCACGTCGATGCCGTTCACCTCCAGGATCTCGTCACTGACGGCCAGCAGCCCAGTGCTCTCGGCCAGCCCACCCTTCACCAGGCGGGAGATGAAGATGCCGGGCACCTTCTCGACGCCCTGGGGGGCCACACGCACGCTGATGCCGTCGCGGATGTAGAAGCCCAGCGGCTTGTCGGAGCCGTGCTTGTGCAGCCGGACGCGCCGGTGCGTCTCGGGCAGGATGTCCACATCGATGATGGAGGAGATCTGCCGGAAGTCCTGGGGCAGGCCGATCAGCAGCTGTGGCTTGGCCCGGTGGTGCGCTGGCCGCAGCAGCCCCTTCTTCTTCCGCTGCAGGGAGTTGGAGGTGAAGACGCTGGAGTCGGCTTCTGCTGCAGGGAGCAAGGAGAGCGCCTGGGTCAGACAGGAACCTGCTGGCCCCGGCCCCGGCCCCTCCTACCTCCTGGAGACAGCGCCCCAGCCAGGAGGGCCAGCCCCCTTGGGCGCCCTGGCCCCACAGCTAGCTGCCCCAATGCAGCAAGCAGTCCACTTCAGGATCTTGACCCAGAGCCCAGGATCACCCATGGCAGAGGCCCCTCCCTGCTTCGGCTTTGCACTCGTCTTCCTGGGTTGTTTTAATGACATGGAACCCCTGGTGTCCCAGCCCTGGGCTCCCCCTATTCTGCCGGTGCCCCTCACTCACGACCCGCAGCCCCCTGCTAGCCCGCCCTGGGCTCCCCCCTACTCTGCCGGTGCCCCTCACTCCCGACCCGCAGCCCCCTTCTAGCCCAGCCCTGGGCTCCCCATACTCTGTTGGTGCCCCTCACTCCCGACCCGCAGCCCCCTTCTAGCCCAGCCCTGGGCTCCCCATACTCTGTTGGTGCCCCTCCTTCCCGCCTGCAGCCCCCTGCTCCCCCACAGGAGGGGTCAGCAGCTTGGCAGCAAGACTCCACGGTGCCATCCCCAGGCGGGGGGCTCTGCCACTGGGCTGAATTGGGGCGGGGGAGCCCTCTGGTCTCTGTCAACCACACCAGCCCCACAGGGACTAGGCAGCTGCTTCTGCTCAGCCCTAGAGCCAGTGTCCCAGCCCCCGCCCCTCCAGCTGGAATCCCCCCCATCCCCCACAATAGCCCATAATCTCCACCCGCCATCCTACCTGGAAGAGCCCCTCCCCCACCAAACCCACCCAGCAAGAGCCCCTCTCCCTTCCCCTGCAGGCCTGGAGCCCTCCGATAAGAGCACAGCAACCTTGGGGGGAGGGGAAGGACTGGGCTGGGCCCCCGTCACTCTCTGGGATCTCAAGCCCTGCCCCCCTCTTGGGATCCCAGCTCACTGGCCTGTGGGTGGTGACACCTCACTCCCTTCCCACTTGGTGCCCAGCCCCACACCTGGCAGGGCTGGAGGAATCCCCAGGACTGAGCTCTAGGTGTAGCCCCAGGGCCTCTCCCCAAGGCATCGCCACAGAGACACCTGCCTGGCGCATGGCTATCCCTGCCCAGCTCCAGCACCGTGTGCCCCAGCAGCGCCCCCGGCTGGCTGCCAAGAGCATTGCGGCCCTGCTCAGCACAGTCCCATGGCACCAATCGCTCCTTCTGGGCACCAGACAGGCCTGGTGCTGCCCACACGAGCATCACGCCAGCCAGATGCAGAACCCAGGACTGGCCAGGGAGTGCCCAGGCTAGGGGCGATGGCCCCTTCCTGCAGGCCTGGAGAGGGGGCCACATCCTCTGACCCCCAGGGGTCAATGCATATGTCGAGCCGGGCAGGCCTGCCACCAGGGGGCCAGCTGTCCGCCCCAAAGCTCCATGGCAACAGGGCTCCAGCCCTGCCCTGGGGCAGAGACTGCTCCTGGGCTGGCCACAGACGAGCAGCCTCCCTCGGGCTGAAGAGAGGGCACCTGGGGGCGACGGGAGCAGGTTCCCCAGGCTGTGAAATGCTCTGAGCCTTTCGTGACACCCCCACACTGCCCTGACAGCTCCCCAGGGCACTCACGCGGTGCCAGGCCCGGCTGGTGTCATGCGGGCTCCGGGCTGCTATGGCAGGGGGAGGGCAGTGCCATGGGAACGCTGCTATCAGGATTAGCTCCGCTAGACCAGGGGCCAAGCGGCCAGCGAGGGGCAGCTCCTCAGGTCTGCCCGCTGCCGGGCTGGCAAAGGCCCAGGGATGGGGCGAGGGGAGACAGCACCACACGAATGCTCTGCGTGGCCCTCCCCTGGGCTTCACCACCCCACCAAACCCCTCCCTGCTTCTCCTCCCCTCCACCAAGGCCACCCCCCCACAGCACACCCCATCTCCCCAGGTCCTCCCTCCCCACCCCGTCAGGATAGGCCAGGCCAGCCCAGCCCACCCACTGATGGGCACAGAGATGCCAGCCCCAGGTATCTGCCATGGGCCCCCTTGGCTCACACTCTGGGATGCACCCTCGCCCCTGGGCTCCAGCCCATCCCCTGCTCCCCTCCAACACCAGACTGCCCTCCGCCCCACTGGCTTCTGCTGGGGCAGCCATCAGACCCCGTGCCTGAGAGAGGTAGGAACCTGCATGCCCAGGCCGCCAGCCCCTCCCAATACCCTGCTGCCCCTCCTCGTGCCCTGCCCCCACAGAGGAGCCTGTGCCCATGGCCCCATGGAGTCTGCTGCCCCGTCATGCTCTGCACCCTCGGCTGCCAAAACCCAGTTTACGCCCTTCGCGCTGCTGACCGAAGTCTTAAAGCCCCAAGCCGAGGCCCCCAGGCCGCGTTGAGAGCCAGCACGCCACGCCAGGCCATGGCAGCTGGGAGACGCCAGGCCCGTGCAGGGCCTGCTCACTGGTGCCAGGCACAGAAGCAGGCAGCCTGCGGCTGAGGGTGTTACCACGCCAAGCCTGGCCCTAACACCCCCTCTGCCTGCATGCCCTCCCCTGCCCACATACCCCCCCCATCATTCCCCTCCCTCACACAGGAGCTGCTGGCTCCCCCCATCCTGGGTGTGTGTGGGGGGGTCTCCCTGGGACAGCCCCAGTCCCCCTCCCCAGGCTGACTGGCACAGCAAGGACACCTGCTGCCAGGGCTCAGGGGAGGAGGAGCTCAAGGACGCTCTCTGCTCAGGGAGGACCTGGCATTGGCCGACTCACTGGCAGCAATTCCTCTCTCCTCCTGCAACAAGCCCAGCTCTGGGGTGCCATGCAGCCTCTGATCAGGGCCCACGCCGAGGACACCCTGCTCTGCCCCGGCCCACTGCTGTCCCTCCCTGCAGCCAGGCAGATGCTGGCACAGCAGTGGGTGAGAGCAGCGGTGGGGCTGTACCCACCAGTGCTGGGGGAGCAGAGGCGCTGGGCCAGGGGATTACATGGCATGTGCTGGGCTGGGATTAGAGGAATCTGAATAACTCTGCTTTAATCGTACTGTGAGTCATGCCCCTTGGAGTTAACCCTGGAGCTGCCAGCTCCCACAGACCAGGTCAGGGCACCTGCATGCCAGCTTGGCCTCTTCCCCCTCGAGGAGAGGCCAGGGCTGGCTGGCATGCAGGAGACAGTGGGCACGTTCCCTAGCTCCACTGGTCGCTCCCCCATGCGTGTCCCATGAGGCTGGGGGTGCAGATGCTCAGGGCAGTACCACCCAGCGCTCTGAGGGCACCCACAGCAGAGATGGGGAACCCACCCCTGGGGGTGGATCACCAGAAGGGGCACATCTCTATGCCAGGCCAGGCAGACTGCCGGCTCTCGGCACTGTGGAGCAGTGGACATGCCCCCCAAGACAGCTGACGCCAGCAGGGACAGCACGGGAGCTAACCAGAGACGCTGCCCCGAGCTGCCAGGGCTGGGACTGGCACCAGCTGGCTTGGGGTGCTGGGCAACTGCATTGCGGCTTGCGCTCCCATGACCGTGAGATCAAGCCCAAGAGAAGCCAGGGAGAAATGGGCTCCCAGCCCCCTCCCCGCACGGGCATAGAGGAGGGCCCATGGGACAGACAACTCGCAGCCAGCCCTTGGCCCCAGCTTTGGTGCCTCCAGCCCAGTCCAGGCAGACACCCATCTGCGCTCAGCTTCCCCATGACTCCAGGTGCCCCAATCCCAGTGGCTGCCATTGAGCCCAGGAGGGCAGCCCACCCCACAGCTCATGACACACCGCAGCACCTGGCTGCTCCTTGGAGATGTCCCCTGCAGCCAGCAGGTTTCTTTCGCAAGCACCGCGAAGCTTTGGGCATGGCGTTTACAGACAGGTGAGGGGAGGCGAGAGCCTCGGCCGGGTTGGGAAGGGTCAGACCCTGGGGCTGTCCAGACCCAGCCTGTGAGCCCTGCTGGGGACTCCTCCCAGAGATGCCCGGCTGAGCAGCGACCGCCTCTCAGGGCACACGCCCGCCTGCAGGACTGGTGGCTATAAATATCTCACCGTACACACACCACACTGTATTTTTAGCCCAGGAAATTCGGCAAGGCCTTTCCCGGCTATTTCTGTGAGTGATTCTCCGCTGTCTGAGTCACCGGTGGATGTGAGCAGCTCAGCACCATCTCCTCCGGGGCAGCTGCCTCTGCACACCTGGGGCAGGCAGACCCCACCACAGAGCAAAGCAGGGCTGCCCCGCTGCCCCCGCTGACACAAGCCTGAGGAAGAGGCCGCTGATGGAGCCAGAATCCACATGCTCAGAGCCAAGGCCATTTCTTATCAGGCTGCAAGCTGTTCCTTCTGCATTCCCCCCCTGCCCCGAGAACCCCCCTTGGGACTCACCATCCTCTGCAGCTGCCGGCTGAGGGCTCCCAGCCTACAAGGGGGAAGTGCGCAGGTGGCAGGGGGTCCCCACATCACAGAAGCCTTCCTTGGCCACACAGCGGGGTCTCTGCCCCCATCCTGTCATTACTGCCCCAAGCCTGAGCCCAGGGGCTGCTGCAGAGCAGTGCAAGCATCAGTGTGCAGCGGGAGCAGATGGCTGGGCCCGGTTTCTGGTGCAGAGACACAGCTCACTGGGGACGCACACCAACATGGGCTCCGCGCTCCCTGCTGTTTACAGGGGCAGTGCCCAGAGAAGCGTGGCCGAGCGGGCAGAGCACAGGGCTGGAACTCAGGAGAGCTGGGCTCTGTTCCTGGCTCTGCCACTGGCCTGCTGGGTGAGCTTGGGAAAGTCACTGCCCCTTTGGTGCCTCAGTTTCCCCATGGGTGAGGGGACGATAGCCACACTGCCTCCTTCGCCATTGGAGAGTCCAAGCTGAGTGGGGGGCAGGGGGTGGAGAACAGGAGTGCTGGGGCCCCTGGTAACGAGTGGCTCCGACGCTCCCCAGAAGCCAAGCTGCTGGCCCAGCCCTTTGCTACCCGCCTCCATTCCCCACCTGCGTAGCTCCACCAGTGTACCTATGTCACACTTCAGGCAACACACAACATTCCCCCTTGGTGGGTCCAGCAGGGGCACCTGCTCCCGGCTCC